TTACTCTATTATTTTAGAATATAGTCTTGGAGAACTGTGTCAGTAGTGTATGACTATTAGAAATTGATAATAAGATACCTTTCAGTGTTGCAATTTGTAGCTCTAACATAGGAATTAAGTTGATGTTAAACAAACCCAAAAATGCTGGATTGTCAGAATAAAAGCCACCAAATGCCTTTCTGCCACCTTGTAGCTGTTGTCAACTCCCCAGCTTTGTCTCCTAGGGATCTTCCCAATCTCCACATATTGGGTATCCATCCATTCTTCAGTCATTCCCTTGCTTTTGAATTGACATGGACCACCCAGCCCACTTTTTGATGATTGTCTCTGATCAGACACTTTGCTTCTGCATGCACTGCTCTGTTACGCATTCTCTGAAATATTTCAGTAGGAGTAATACGATGAGCCAGTTTGAGTTATTGCATTGGTATTGGAAGCATCTTTATGTGTTAGTTCCCCTGCAAATCTAATTTAGTAGTTTTCTTCACATTCCCTGAAACTAGGGAAAGCACAATGGATACTTGGAGAAAGGTTCTTTTATTTTTTTTAACCATAATCAAACCATAAACACAAAGCTCTGCCTCGTTTTTAGATTTTTTTTATTTAACACTTTGCTGTTTTCACTTGAAGCAAGTAAGTATTCCCCTGCCCTGTCTCTCTCAACCTCCACGAAAGAGAACCAGTGCTTATAGAAGAATATGTAGCTTCTGGTGAAGAGCGGTCTTCAGGTGACTGAAGCAGAAGAGTGACTATCAATATCGCAGAAAGGAGACAACTTGTAGTGCAAGATGATGAGGAACAGTGTAACGCAGAGAGTCCTTAGAGCTATTTTCACGATTCCTTAAGGAGGATTTGATCTGGTTTCTTAATCCCTACTTCTCCAGAATGCATTACAATGTCTGGCTTATCATATACACTCAGTAACTTGTGTTATATGTGGAATGAATAGTAGTTACCTAAGAAATTTCCATGGAAGGCCCAGATAAATATTTATTAGGGAAGGGAGGAGAATTCTAGAATAATTACTGCTTGAAGGGCAAGAAGGGATTATATAAGGTAGGTGGCAAAAAGCAAAGGATAAAAAGTTATGATACTAATCAGATAGTATTTTCAACTCAAACTTTTGCAATGAATATATTTTATAATTATCTTAAGCAGACTTGTGATTCAGTAATAACAATTTCTTAGACATAAAAACTCCTTAGAGAATATTTTAGTATTCTAACATAACAAGGCAGAAAAAAGATAAAGCCGCATTTAAAAAAAATACGGTTTGCTACAAAACTGTGTTGAAAATCCTGCTGAAGTTTTAGAGTGTGGAGCAGTAACAATCCTTTTACCTGCAAGTTAATAAACAAACACCTTCATGACAGTCTAGGGAATAAGATATGCCTTTCTTATGAAACTCTGAGGAGTCATCTATTTGATATCAAGAGCCTTTTTTTTATTCTTTTGAACAATGTTGCTACCAGTCATTGATATAATTCTCCAGAGGGAACTTTCAAGCTAATGTATGACAAAGCTGAAGGAAGAGAGTGGTGTGTTGAACCTTTTTAAATTCAGAATTGATGCCTCAATAAATCAATGTTATAAAGGAAAGGAATTAGCAAGGAAATATAGTCTATCTACTGTGACGATCCTAGGATGGTATAAATTAGTAGGAAAATTAGTGTCAGAAGTAAATGATTTACTTTGTCCTTTGCTTTCTTGTAATATACTCTTTTTTTTTTTTTTTTCTGACAGGCAGAGTGGACAGTGAGAGAGAGACAGAGAGAAAGGTCTTCCTTTGCCGTTGGTTCACCCTCCAATGGCCGCCACGGCCGGCGCGCTGCGCTGATCCGATGGCAGGAGCCAGGTACTTCTCCTGGTCTCCCATGGGGTGCAGGGCCCAAGCACTTGGGCCATCCTCCACTGCACTCCCTGGCCACAGCAGAGAGCTGGCCTGGAAGAGGGGCAACCGGGACAGAATCCAGCGCCCCCACCGGGACTAGAACCCGGGGTGCCGGCGCCGCAAGGCGGAGGATTAGCCTAGTGAGCCATGGCACTGGCCTGTAATATACTCTTAATATTTTCTTGCTGTGTATCCTCTTTAAAATACTGAATAGAAAAACATCAGTGTGCATATTAAAATGAATAAAACTCTTTGTATATGTGGATGGATATCTATATCTACCATCTCTCTATATGCATACACACACCTACAGCTAAACAAATAAATGTTTCTACATAGAAAAAGACCTTTTGGTTAATTTAATTGAGTTCCAACTAATCCTATACTTCAAAGCTCCTCTTTGCTTATTCCAAGTTGTGGTGGTTAAAACATAGGTGATGTTCAAGGATTGACTTAAATGACATTAACTGTTCTGTTGAAATCTTTGCCCAAATTCCCATTGTTGGTAGAAAGCTGCTGCCTCCACCTCTTTAGAATGGTTTGAAGAATTGCGTCAGTTGTTTGTATCTGGGTTTGCTTGTGCCCCAGCATTCTCTCACGTGAATACTCTGAGGGCGACACATCTTAGATTTTTAGAAATAAATGAAATCTAGGAAAAAAGGGCAACATTTGACTACATTGTCCTGTTTAAGCATGCACATGTTTTATTTAAGTATTCTCCAAAGGTCTATTTTTTTCCAGCATAATGCAGATATTATGCTATCTTTTGAAATAAGATATATGAACTTCAAACAAAATTGTCAAAAACAATGACCTTAGTTACTCCATATGATACACAGAAATAATTACGTTTCACTTACAATACAGATGCACTTAACACAGTCATCAAAAGTCATTCACCACCAATACAGTATATTTTAAATCACCTAAAACATCAAAAAGGATTTTCTTTTTCAAAATTCTTAAAAAAAATTAAGTTTTTGATAAATGATAAATCAGAAGAGGAGGCAGAATTGCCAAAAGAAATAATCTAACTGCATTTTCTTTTATGCAATATTAAGAACATTGTAACAGAACATCTCATTGGGAATCAAAAGACGTAAAGTATTCCTGATTGTGGTTTCCTTAGTCTACTTTTTAAAAAGGTTTTCAATAAATGCCATCAAAGATGTTTCACTATACATTTGCTCTACAAGCATAAAGTGACATAAGGCAGGTGTTAATGTAATTGTTAATATTCACACTGCTGGAAGATTAGTAATTTTAAAAAGTCATACTAGGAATAAAGCCAGTTCTTCCCAAGAGACAGTTGAGTTTATCTTACTTTCACTCAGCAAATATTGATTAAGATCTACTGTGTGCACAGCACTGTTCTAGAAGCTATTCTAGACATGGGAAGCAAGAATATCTGGCTTTACTTGAAACTTGGATTAATTCATTTTTATGATAAATTATGTTAAGTATTTAAAATCTATAATAAAGGGATAATTATTAACTTTTTCCATGTACAGAAGCTAAGCTTTATTTCTTATAGTGGTGGCTTGGAATGAACAAAACTTCATTTGACGTAAAAGTTTTTTACACTGTCACATGAAGACATGTCTGCTGATATATTTCAAGGGTGAAAAAGTATACAGACTTTTCACTTAGATGTACATAGAGATCAACTTTGTATCATCAAACTCCTGTTATGATTTGGTGGACACAATTGCACCTTGCAATATACAGGAACTTTTCTAAGATAAATTTGTGCTGCCTTCCTGAATGTCATAGAAAGCTTTCTTTCATCAAATATTGCTACATAAAACACTCCAGTTTCTCTGCATTCCAAATCACATTAGTTATTCTCAAAACATATTCAAGATCTAAAGCAAAATAAATAATATATCAAGTAAGATTCTGAGATCATTGATTCTATGAAATCAGTCCCAGTCAACTCTTTTCATGAAAACATAGTGATATATCCAGTATCAGGGCTTTTCCATAAACAGCAAAGACATTAGTGATAATTCATAAATGTCAACTCCTTTTCTCTAGTTTTTGACAAGGGGATTAATGACAGTCTCCATACAAGATAATTCGCTGGGGGATACAAAAGGAGGAAAGCCATTTGAACTATGGTTAACATTAGTCCAGTTGATGATGGTGAACCCAGTAGAAGGTGCTACAGAAATACAGGAACAGATAATGCACTATGTCACAGGAATACAGTGGACTAAAGAATATTACCAAGAAACATATATGGCACAATAGTTTGGGATTAAAAAGTTACCTTAAAACTGGCCACACTAGAACTTGTTCTATGAATGTGGCTTTTACTGTATCTATGAAGATTCCGGAAAGTACAACAACAAAAAAAATCCTGATTCCTGATACAACAGGTATACAATGAATTATTGCAGTTGTAACAGTATCTAGGAGCAAGGTTAACTGATAATTAATACTGAACTATCTGAACACTTTAGATTTACTAATGAGCATCCCCATGAGAAACACTGAAGTTCTAAAAGGAGTTTACAGCCCACCATGGAACATGAACAATCAGCTTGTAAGTGCACAGGAATTCCCCCTTTCTACAATTATAGTTTATCATGCCTATTCTGAAGACAACATAAGGAAACTGAGATCACTGCTCCAAAGAATTCTAGCATGCATTATGATGGTTCTTTCAGTCAATACAAATGTGTTGTATGAGTTTTTTTTTTTTTTTAAGATGGAATAATCTTCATCATTGCCAATGTTCATGGTTTTAACAGGAAAAATTTTTATCAAAATGTTCTCCATATTTTTTGTTTTGCATTCAACTGGAACATTAGGTCCAAAGATTTATTTTATTAAAAAAGAGTTCTGATCATAAGAAGCATCAATAGGCGGCATTTCATTGTGCTCATTCGCAAAGTCAAAGGGTCACAGAATATTCCTCTAACAGGTCAAACTCTGTCTGGAAATGCCATTTGGTGGTTTTATTCACAGCCTCAAGGTTGGAAGCTTTGTTTTTGTTTCACTCCAACCTTCTCCCATTGCTGTCTTAATCTGCAAATGGTTTATTATTTCTTCTTTCTTCTACATTGAGATTCTTTCCACAGCCAGGGCTCAAATTCTCTTGGACTTCTTCCAACTGTCTTACAAAGCAGACACTCTGACAATATTTCCTCCTGAGTACTCAGGAGATTCTGGCCTGTCATCTCCCTCTGGTGTGGTCACTGGAGGTGTTGGGATGCTTATTATTGCTGTGGTCACATATGGTTGTTCACAGTTTAGTTTAACACACTCTTCCATTTTGGCGTTTAAACTGGATCGGCTGATGAGAAAAATACCGATTTAATGAAATCAGTTGCTTATTTAAATTTGTTTTCATACAATTGAGCAATGCATATTCTAATTATTATAAATAACATTTTAAATGTGTAAGAAAAATGACCATAATTTAAAAAACCCTGAAATTTCAACTCTTAATATGTATTGACATGAATATTAGTTCATACCATTAAATAAATTTCTAAAGCCAACTCAGTTTGGTTCAATCAACTGTTTCTCAAACAAAGTGTATTCTATAAAAATACAAGAGAGAAGATCAGGAAAGATTTGGATATCATCAGTTGAACAAATTAAAATAATTTAAGATAGGAACTCTGGGGCTGGTGCTGTGGTGCACTGGGTTAACGCCCTGGCCTGAAGCGCCGGCATCCCACACTGGCATCGGTTCAAGACCTGGCTACTCCACTTCCGATCCAACTCTCTGCTATGGCCTGGGAAAGCAGTGGAAGATGGCCCAAGTCCTTGGGCCCCTGCACCTGCATGGGAGACCCAGAAGTAGCTCCTGGCTCCTGGCTTCAGATCAACACAGCTCCAGCCATTGCAGCCAATTGGGGAGTGAACCATTAGATGAAAGACCTCTCTGCTCTCCTCTGTCTGTGTAACTCTGACTTCCAAATAAATAAATAAATCTTAAAAAAAAGTAATAAGGTAAACTTTACATTTTTTAAAAAAAGATAGGAACTCTGAAGGTTTTGAGAAACCATTATGAAAATGTCCCATTATTTGGATTTCTTGAGCACAGAATATTCTTATTACATCATTTTAGGGTATCTTAGGTACTATAAAAAGTTCATGGGAAAGTGGAATTATTTTGGTATAAAAATTTTGGAATCCATACCTAGTTTTTAATAAGCATTTCCATGAACTTTTCAGAGAACCCTTGTATAATGCCCTCAAAGTTTTCACCTCCATCATGACTATCTGTTAAAAATCCTCAAAAAAGCTTTTTTAATCAAACACTTTAAGTTTGGGCCAGGCATCCTGGTGCAGTGGGATGCTCAGATTCCATATCAGAGTGCCAGTTCTAGTCCTGGCAACTCTGTTTCCAATCTAGCTTCCCACTAATGATTTTGGGAAGCAGCAGATGATGGCTGTGCCACTCCTGGATGGAGTTCCCGGCTCCTGGTTTTGGCTTGGCTGAGCCCTGGCTGTTGCAACCTTTTGGGAAGAGAGCCAGTGGATGGAAGACATCTCTTATGTCTCTGTAATCCCAACTTTCAAATAAAATAAATTTCCTTAAAAAATACTCCAAGGTTTCCCAAGTGCTATTCTTACATGAACTTTATACTCTCTGTGATAAAAGAATGTAAGAGACAAGAAAAGCAATTTACATATTCATGTCCTAAGGTTTTCTTCCTAAACATTTCTCCTTTTACTGCTTTGTTATGTATTAGATATGAAACAATGCAGAGGTGAAGTATGTTAAAGAGATACTTTTGTTACTCCAAATATTAACATTGGATCCCAGGGTCATCCAATTTATATAAATAAACATAGCCTGAATTCAGACTTTCATCCAGGTTTTCAGCAAATACTATTGAATACCAACAAATAATGAAAATTTATGGATTATTAATCTAAAAATATGTTACTCTAAAGAGCAACTCAAAATTATTTTGGATGAAACTGACCTTTTAAATGATCTACAGTTTAAATGTACTACTTTTTATTACATATGTGTGTTTGTGGTGAAAACAAATAGTGAACACAGAAAAACAAAGAGAAAATATCTGTATAAATATTTCACTAAAATTGCCCATAACTAATCCAAGATGAAAAAATTTTTGTATTTTACTTATTTTTAATTGAATTGACGTTTATGTCTGTGGCCAAGTAACTTTATGGTCAATACTGTATGTGTATAAAGGAAATTTGTGTAGGCATAGTTTTAATTTTCACCATTTTGTTGACTGTGTTGACATATTTTTAGGTGCTATTGAATGACCTTCAGTCATATTGCTGTTGATTACACTTTCTCTTTTAGCAGTGTTGTTTATAGTTTCAGGCTATTTGCATTTACAGGATGAGCTTCTGAGTATAGAAGTCCTTGTTCAAATAAAAGAAAAAGTGGACTTGAAGTGATACCACATATTTGTATGTACCAGATCAACCTTCTCTTCTTTTCACTCTTCTTTGCAGTATTTACTTATTAATCTTTTGAGAGCAAGAGAGTGAGAGAGTTCATTCATCTGTCGATTTACACCCAAATGCCCTCAACAGCTAGAGCTGGGCCAGCCTGAAGTTAGGAGACCTGAAAGAAGTTCTGGACTCCTATGTGGATATCAGGGACCCAAGTACTTGGGCCACCATCTACTGCATTCCAGGAGCATGAGCATGGAGCTGGATTGGAAACAGAGGCATGACATTAGGGGATGCAGGTGTACCCAAGAGTGTACCAAGAGTGTACCCAAGAGTGTGGCGTAACCTGCTGTCTCATAATGCCTGCCCCCTTCTTCCTACTCTTAAAACTGATACAACTGCTCATTTGATCACTTTGGGGTATACCAGTAGACTTATTTTCCTACCTGTTTCAGTATCAGTTTTGTCTCTATTCCTAGGAGCAAAGACTTAGATGCTACACAGGTAAAACGTCACTGCAGAAGGTGACTTATGAACCAGTATAGCTGTGTGTACACAGCACAGATTAACCTCGGGTACCTGTTAGATAGCGGTGTTCTCTCCACACATCTGATCTGAATGGTACTGAGTTCTTGCACACTGCCTCGCTGGCTTCCTGATACGTTGGCATTGGGAATGCGGAACGTTTTTTTGTGTCGTCGTGAACAGCAAGTGCTGGTGACTCCTTGTTGTGAAGAGAGAGAGGGGCTGTGACTTGAAGGCCGATTAACAGTTGCGACTTCCATGCAGCTTTCTTCAAAGACTTGTTCATCCACAAACTCATGATTCTGTTTAACAGTGATAAGAAAAGGTAAAGAAAGAGAAACACCTTTTTTTAACTTAAAAAAGGAAATACATAGCTTTATTTTAAAAACTTAAATATGCCCATGGATAGTTAGAAGGGATTCAACCAGGAGCACCATTTTCATGATTAGAATATCCAAACCACTTCTATTGGCATTTGTGTGGAAACAAAATGACTCTAGCTGGACCTAGAGATTTGACATATACATATATAGACTATCACAATTTTGTGACGTTCACATTTGTAGGCAGATTGAAGTTATGGAAATAACAATATCTTAATAATATATCCCAAGTTAGTTTGATTGTCTGCTATATATGAAAGGACCTTACCAAGTTCATGGAAAATAGAATTAAGATAAAAAAATTAAAAGATTCATTTTGTTGCTAAAACTTTTGGAAATCCATGCCTACTTTATTTTCATAATATTTATTTTCTACAAACTTTTTGAAGATCTCTTATATTAACAAATAGTCCATGTGGGATTGAAAACATTTTTTCATTAGCAAAAGATGCTTATGATCCTTTTCGCTTCCTTATATGCTCTTCAAAAATGCTCAGTTATAGAAAAATGAGACTTAGCACTGAATGCAATACATTTATCTGCCAAGTGTGCCCTTGTGTCTGTCTCAAAGGTAGCACTGAATTTCTGTCACCTCCTTTCTCAATGCTGCAACATATCACTGACTCTAGTCATGACACTGCCGGGGCCAGGGTTTCTCTGCTTCTATCTTCCTCACTACCAGCCCAGAAGCGAGTGGTCCTGGGCGTCATTTCACCTTTTGTATTTTATAGGAACACAATATACATTTGGCTTTTAAGATGTTTAATAAAATGTCTATGCAAGAATTTTATCTCAGAGATCTGACGGAAAACTATTTTTTATCAAGTATTACAGAGCAACCTCAATTACTATCTTTTACTTGTGTGGGGTTAATAGTCTTTTGATGGAAGCTTTTGCACTCACTGGATTCCACTTAGCTATCTCTCATTCTAAAATACTACAGCAGTTGAATATGTTTGCTGGCTAACAAGAAATAGATTTTAAGTTATTCACTTTGCCATTTGTTTGCTGAGGCAAGCATTTTGAAATACATGGAATTTAACATTCTACTGTTTGTTTAAAGTCCAGAGGATATGATAAGACTGAATTTCACATTAAATATTAAAGAGAAAATACAGTACAGAAAACATTCATGACCTGTTTTCTTCTCTTCCAAAGCACATTTCAAACATAGTCAAAATTACAATGCATGAGATTGTAATTTATCTCATTAGTGATTGGAAGTGAAGAAGTATTTTATTATTGGCTACCATCCACCTTGTGGATCACTCGATTTAAACTAAATTAAGTCATGTTGTTATTTTTTTATTACAAGGAAAATAGAGAAAAAGGGAAAATAAAATGAGAGGAAAAAGACAAGGATAATGCATCTTGTCATTAACTTTCAGAGAGTTATTCTAATGCATTATAGCCTTGTCTACATTTTTATTTAAAAACACAATTGTAATTGTGACTTAGAATGCATAAAGAGTTTTTCTCTTATCATCAGATATAGATGAACATTGTTCCCTTGCCTCCACAGCCCAGCATTATCTGGCCTCTGCTTTTCTCTCTACCACCTCTTACGCCAACTACACTTTCTCCTTCTGGCCAACCTCAAGTTCTTGCATTTCCTCATAGGCACATACTTGCCCCTCTTCAGATACACAACAGCACATTAGTGCCTTCATTTATTTGCTTACTGAACTCCTGGTAAGTCTGTAGGCCTCAAGTTCCTTCAGGAAGTCTGTCTGAGCTTGTCACCTCACAGCCATGTGTCCCACCCCACTGTGGCTTCCAGGACTTTGTCCTCCTCCAGTAACAGGCTCTGTATTTTGCCCCATAAACAGAAGCTATGTGGTCACTGGGGCCACACTTGATTCATGGTGTGTCTTGGACCTGGCTCATTGTTAGGTGCATAGCAAGTGAGTGACTTAGGTAAAAGAATAAACAGATGAGTACTGCACTGGAATTGAAAGTACAAATCATTGCATGTCAGGGAGTGTGTGAACTGACTTGATTGTGAAAGTTTTGTTCTGCTGTGTGGTCACAGATTGTGACCCTGACAAGATAGTCAGAGATTGGGTCCCTTTGCTATGGCAAAGGTCTGACTTGGTGTTTGGAAGTGGAGAGATGCAGATCCCTTCACACTCAGGGGCACATAAGTGATTAAATGCGTCATCTTCTTATGAGAATGTATGGTGTTTATTATCTATTCTTAATCATTACACTAATGAAAGTAATGCCTACATTCTGGTGTTCTATTTTTTAGCACTATTCATATTCTCTTTATCCGATGTCAGCAACACTTGAATTTCCTTTTTTACTGATTTACCAGCATTTTAAGAATCAAGGAAAATGGCATTTTATAGATTTGCTATTGAAAGACAACTTCCATCTTCATTTAACTGATAATGTAGACTAGACTTCAGGTAACCACTGAGAATAAAACATCGTAACTAAATCTCTAAAATATCTACCATGCTGAAACATGACCATAGTCTTTCAGAGTGATTTCAAATGCTGTTTGTGTGTGTGTGAGAGAGTTAGCATGCTTCCCTGTAACGCAGACAGTGAAATCATGCTTGGAAGCATTAGTATGCACAGAAGCACATGGAAGTACTGCTGCAGGCAGAGGCAGGCAGTCGTGCTGTCTCCTTACCGTGGTTTTCTCCAGGCAGTGAAGCAGGTGGTGGTGCTGGGTTTCAAAGCTGGAGCCGGACTTGCTAACAAAGGCTGGCTCCTCCTCCGAGGACTGTGGACACAGAGAAGACAGAATGGCTTTCTATTTTATTTGCAAACAATGAGAACCTCAGCTACATTTTCCACAGAGAGATCTGACCTATTTTCCAAGATTAAATGTCAGGATTTTTTTTTTTTTTTAAAACTAAATAGGAACAAATGTACAGTTGCTTCTAACTTGGATGATCAGCATTTACATTTTCATCAAATTAGCAGTCTTATCCTTCAGACGTGTCTTCCTGAATTGAACATTGAAATCTCTCTTACCGATTCAATGACCAACTATCTTTGTAAACCTCAGAACGATTATTTTTGCATAAAAAACTTAACCTAGTAACTGCATCATCATAAAACCACTATCATGCTCATTTACACAGTAGCTATTTTGTGGGGAGAAAAAGATGACTGGAACCCTTAATATGAAAGGAAAGTTTTGAAGTAAATGTAAAGTTTCTCATTTATACACGTACCATGTGGCCCTCATAACACTGAATGGTGTCCCCCCTTCACGTAGAAGGAAAATCAGCTGTCCTGTCACTCCCTCAACCCCTCCTCACCCAAATGAACTTTAAGAAACTTAAGTTATTTTGTAACAGAGAAGAATTCAGCCTTTGAATTATTGCACATCTTTTACCCCTGCCATGTAACATGAGATGTGCAAAAACACTGTCCAATCACGATCAGGCATCATGAGTCATTGGCAATAGTTCATAGCACAGCGTCTAACCTACGGCCAACTGAAATGTACGGGGAGAAGCTAAAACGAAATGACACTTGCGTTGTTTCAGGAGCCATTTTCATAATTACCCACAATAAAATGATACGGCTAGGTAGAACTCAATCGATATTACACCAGTAAATGGAACATTAGAAACAAGTGCAGTGCTTGGCTGTACCTGCAGCTGATTGCTGAGTAAACCATTGCGTTTGCTCTGCATGTAGGCGTTCGCACTTCCACTTTTGGCTGCCCGGATTCTGGCCAGTCTAGCTTTCTACAGTAGAAGAAAAATAAGTATCCTGTTAATGCTTAGGAGTGGGTGCACTCTGGATGATCCTAATGTCAGCATACATATTTCTTAAAGTAATTCAGGTTTCCACATAGAATTAATAAAAACGACCCCTCTTTTCCTTTTTGAGCACTTTTCATTAGCTAATATTTATCAAGATGACTACCTGATAATAATAAGGATAGCTACAGTTGACTACATAAATTTGGGTAATGCATTTAGGAATAATTAAAGTGAATCTTTACAGTATGATTAAGTTACTTTGTTATTGTTTCTTTCAATTGTGTCAAGAGAAAACATAATGAACTGAAAAAGAATGTAGCCTAGCAAATCAGCTACACCTCCTTTTCTCTTAAGCTAATGTCCTTTGGAAAACAAGTAACTAAGTTCCAGAAACCAGGTGTAGGCCTGCCAGCTTTCCTTCCTTCCTCCCCCACCCCTCCTTCTTTTCTTTTTTCCTTCTGGGTCTGCTTCCTGCCAGTGCAGCCCATGGGAGCAGTAGTGATGGCTCCAGTACTACCTGGGATGCTTTCTCCAGTACTGAGTTCCTATTTCACATGGGAGACCTGGATTTAGTTCCTATCTCCAAATGTGCCCTTCTCCCATATGTCTTTCTGTTTCTCTCTCTCTCAAAAACAAAAACAAAAACAAAAACAAAAAAAACAAAAACAAAACACACACACACATAAATAACCACTATTAAGCTGTAGCTAAATCTTTTAATATAAAATTTTAATTCTGCATTCATCCTGTTAAATTAGTCAAAGTAGATCCCTGAATTTATGTGCTATGTCTACTGGCGCAGTTCACACGACTGTGAAATGCTCATCCAATTTCTCTCAATCTTTGTTTTTAAAAGTATTTTATTTATTTGAAAGAGAGAGAGAGAGAGAACTCCCATCCACTGGTTCATTCCCCAAATGCTTGCAATGGCCTGGTACTCAAATGGGATGTGGGTGTCACAGGCAACGGCTTAAACGTACTACATCACAACACGGCACCCACTATTTTTTGAAATGAAGAACAAAGTAAGTCTATGTATGGAATTTTGCAAAATTATTTTTAAGTTTTAAAGCAGTTTTCATACGGATGATGTGTCTTCAATTTAGAGAATTTAGGGTAGTCCAATTGTTTGCAGGAACAGTAAGATTGCCAAAATGGTCTTACTGAGCAAACTGGCTGATTAGCCAGATTTTGGTATTCTGTTCTATGGTAGATCTGATGTTGCACGTCTTTTTGTCAGAGGGAGTCTAGATGTTACTTCCTGCAAAGTACTTCTTTGGTGACTATTTGTATGATGTATATCTAGCTAATACATTTCTCAGCCCTCAAAGATTCCCATGCTCCCTCTTCCCCCCTCCCCCCTTTCTAAACAACCAAGATAAATCGCCTCAAGCCTGGGAAATGCTCTTAAAGGAAAAATGTTAAAATTATCTATATTTTGGGCCGAGGATGTGGCGCAGCAGGTTAAAGCCTTGGCCTGAAATGCTGGCATCACATATGGGTGCTGGTTCTATTCTCGGCTGCTCCTCTTCCAAGCCAGCTCTCTGCTATGGCCTGGGAAAGCAGTACAAGATGGCCCAAATCCTTGGGCCCCTGCACCCATGTGGGAGACCTGGAAGAAGCTCCTGGCTTCGGATTGGCACAGCTTCAGCCATTGCGGCCATCTGGGGAGTGAACCAGCAGATGGAAGACCTCTCTCTCTGTCTCTACCTCTCTCTGTCTTTCAAATAAATAAAAATAAATCTTTAAAAAATTATCTAGATTTTAAATTGAAAATGAATATATAGATCTCACAAAAATTTGTAATTCTACAAAAGTGCACGCCCCCAAGGAGGTCTCTGTCTTTGGAGCTGTCCTATTCCTTGATTCAGAGTTAATGACTGGTAATATTTCTAGGAATGTGTCAGAGATTTGCTAAGCATGTGAAAGAAAGTATATTTATGCAACAGTGTATACATATGTATTTTTACTCCACTGGGAGAGTGCTTTTAACATGGTTTGCACTTTTTTTTCTTTTAAAGATTTTAAAATTTTTCATGTATTTGAAAGGCAGAGTGACAAAGAAGGGAGTGAGGGGTAGATCTTTCATGTGCTGCTTCACTTCCCAGCCACAATTTCTAGGGCTGGGCCAGGCCAAGCCAGGAGGCTGGAATGCCAGTGGATCTCCCACATGGGTGGCAGGGTGCAAAGAACCGGGGTTATCTTCTGCTTTTCCATGTGCATTGGCAGAGAGCTGGATCTGGAACTGAGCAGCTGGGGCTCGAACCAGTGTTGTGATAGGGGTTGCTGGCATTGTAGGAGGTGGCTTAATCTGCTGCACATCAACTTGGCTGGCCCCATTGTTTTGCATGTAATAGCTTTCAGTTGGTATATCTTGGACCTCCTTCCATACATACACAGTTAGATTTAGCGCATTTTTGATGGACATATTATATACCACTGTATGACCAAAACATTTATTCAGTTACAGCTACTAATCAAGATGTTTTGAAGCGCCCTTTGCTTTGCATATCAGGATAAGCTTATCTGCTGGATAAATTGCTGAAAGCAGAATTAGTCCCAGATCAAAAAGGGTAGGATAGTATGTGGAGCAGGGGTGTACTGATCTCAGTGTATTTAGTTGAACAGTTTTCCCCAGACTTCCCTCCAAAGTCATTGTAGCAGAATGCCCTTTCATCTGCATTATTTGAGAGTAGCACTGAGAAGTGTGAAGCTCTCAATATAGCTTTATGCTAGTATCTGAGTTTAACTCCGCCCTCTTTCCCTAAATTCATTCTTCCTATGTGTTGATTTCAGGTTAAAATAACACTTTATACAAAGATCATATTCATAATTGACCGGAAAAGTGGGCATTTTAATTCTTTGTTGGTAGTATGTTTAGATCACTCAAAATACTGAGACAACACCAGTGACTTCTGTTGGAAGGTAGAAAATTTTTAACTTCAACAGCTGTGCTGAGGAGTCAAAAAATTCCTGGCCAGACTCCAAATAAGAACAAAAGCAAAAAACAAAACCAGTGGCAAGTGACAAGCATATTAGGAAAAGACTTAGAATTGGCCTAATAATTCAGAACTAAGCAGTTTATATTTTGGTTTTCAGAAAGGGGCTATTGTTGAAGTTTTAGTCCTAAAATGCCTTTGATTTCCTGGAAAATTCATTGTGCTTTTGGTTCCCTTTGATTCTCTCCCATCCACTCCTCCCTCCCTCTCTCTTTCTTGTCTCTGTTTCCTTCCTGCCTTCCTTGCTTTCTCTTTCCAGCTCCTTTTATTTTTGCGACTACTGTGTGTAATGACATTGGCAATATCACAGTTACTAGTTCATTCGTGTCATTCTCCAAGCATTTCACTACAGCATCAGGAAACATTATTTCTTCCACTAATGAGACAAATACATTAACCAAAAAATACTGTCCAGCAAAGGAAAATGTTGTCTATTTCTCATCCTATAAAGCAAAGCCCACCTATGATGACAATCTTTACTCTAGCAGTAGCTCTAAGATTTGGGAAAAAGAAATGTTTTCCAGACAGAATAACCATATTGGCTAATTCATGCACTGTGTTAAAAAAAGAAGCTTCCATCTCAATTTCAATCACGGCTTTTCTTTCATTTTGCTACAATATTGTACAAGCTAATTGATTTAATTGGTCTTGTGGAGTACCATACCAAATGTCTGTTGAATGCTAGCCTTTATGACCTGTGATTACATCTTTGGTTCCAGCAGGTAATTGAGGGAAATTATTTTACAAAGATGTTTTAGAAAATCACTTTACTTCTGACCTACTTAGTATGACAATCTTGGCAACTCCGGCTGTGCGATCGGGAGGTTAAAAGAAAACAAGCTGCTGATAAGAGGAAGTACGCTCCTTCCACTCCCCTGCTCCTACCCCTGCAGGAAACACAACTTCTTGGCATGGCAAAGTACCAGAAAATAGTATGAGAATTAAAGGAAGGTTGCAGCAAATACTTGACATTAGCCTGCATGGAACAAAAGAAGATTCCAACATCTTAGTTAAAAATAGGGTTTATGTAAGACCTTTGCCATTATTTTCCAATTATTTATCTGCTTTAAGAAATACAGAGAGTGAGAGGACCTAATTTTGTCTCATCAGCACCATCTTTTCCTATTTACCCAAATTTTTTCATAAATTCTGATTTTGCCCATGTTGGTTTCAAGGAATAGTACATCTACTGGATAATATAGCAACCAGCTAGGTGAAGCAAAGGACTGGTTCTGCTGTCACTGAACGGCTGGGAAATGATGAGATGCTAAACAGATTTCTTCGCTGTTGGGATCCCCACAATATTTATCGTGGATGTTCATTGCAAGGATCATAGACGGAAAGAGCATGCAATTTTTCTCTAGCTAATTCGACATTGAACTTTTACTGTGAAGCTGAATGCTGTAGAGTAGAACACAATGATTTTTAGCAAGGAGATGGTTTTTTAATTACATCAAATTATATTATAAACTTTACAGTGCATTTTCTGAAACCGAGGCTGGGAGCCCATCAGACAAAGATCTTTAAGCCAAGCATTATCGACATCAGGATTCCCCTAAATGGGCAGCCATATTCTAAATGAAATATGAGGTAGATTGAGGGAAGTGATTGGACCATCTTGTTAGCAAATCACAAAATGTTTTCAGTACTTTCAAAAAGTAAAGCAACCTTCAAAGTGAGGGGAGAAAGCCTCTCTCCCTGGTTAATCTTAGACAATCCCTCATGTCTCAGATATTGGCACACATACTCCTGTAGCATGCGTATTGGAAGCTCCACTTGCAGTTGTTTGTTTCATTGAAGGTTTAGTAAAGTGCTGCAGGTAGAGGTAGCAAATCAAGCTTCATCGGCTTCATACATTAAGACTCCATTGGAATCTTTCTACTTGCTAAGGAAGAGGGCCACTCTTGCAATGAGGAAAGCTAGTGCCAAACAATAATACAAGAGTTAAAGGAATTCAACAGGAGACAGTGCAGTATTAATGGTTCTAGAGCTTGGTTAATTCTGGAGATGTCAGGGCTGGGCAGAATCAGGGCTGGGATGTGGATCAGTGGAAGGCAAAAAGCAATGACAGTGCCATAAGAGGGAAGAAATGGAAGAGGGTGAAGAGGGTATTACAGACAAAACCATGCTTCCTAGTATTGTTTATAATCGGCCTTTTTTAAAAATTTTTATTTTTTTAAAATTTTTTTTCAGGAGCCAGGTGCTTCTCCTGGTCTCCCATGCAGGTGCAGGGCCCAGGGACCTGGGCCATCCTCCACTGAACTCCTGGGCCACAGTAGAGAGCTGGACTGGAAGAGGAGCAACCGGAACAGAATCTGGCGCCCCAACTGGCATCAGAACCCGGTGTGCCGGCGCCACAGGTGGAGGATTAGCTTACTGAGCTGCGGTGCCGGCCTATGATTGGCCTTTTGAATGTTCAGTGTCCTCCAGTCTCGGAAGCCTCTGTCAAGGTGAACAAGCCTTACTTGTTCACACACTCATTCTTCCACTCATTGCAAAAATATGAAGGCCTGTTGTATGCCAGGTGCTGCGCTCAGGGAAAGTATGATATAATATTCACATATTTAATAATAGAATGTATGCAGAATATTGCAGAAGAGCAGAATGGATAATTAGTGATGCTACAATGTCCAGAAAAAATTTCATATACAGAATGGTATTTGACATAACTCTTGAACCTTGAGTAGAAATTTGCAGGTGGCTACTTCAGGACTTGTAGGGATGGACAGGAGACACAAGAGCAGAGCTAATTCAGTAAGGCTGAAACAGAGTGGATATGCAGAATTATGTACTCCCTTGATGTTGATAATACCAGGCTATTAGGCTATAAACAAATAAAAGAACAAGATACACAGATATTTGGGGTAGAAACTAGGAGATTTTATCTTTATTATTTTTTTTTTGAGATTTATTTATTTTATTTGAAAGAGTTACAGAGAGGTAAAAGGGAGAGGCAGAGGCAGAGGCAGAGAGAGAGAGTTTTCCATTCGCTGGTTCACTCCCCAAATGGTCTTAACAGCCGGTGCTGGGCCAGGCTGAAGCCAGGAGCCGGAAGCTTCATCTGAGACTCCCACATAGGTGCAGGGGGTCCCTGACTTGGGCCATCTTCTGCTGCTTTCCCAGATGTATCAGCAGGGAGCTGGACTGGAACTGGAGCAGCCAGGACTTGAACTGGCACCCATATGGGATGCTGGCCCCTGCAGGCAGTGCCTTTATCTGCTATGTCACAGTGCTGGCCCCCAAGATTTTATTTTTAATAGTAGATAATATAAGATCACTCTCAAGATGTAGTTAGGGGTGTTGGCACTGTGGTGTAGTAGGTTAAGCCTCCATCTGCGGTGGTTTCATATCCTGGCTGCTCCTCTTCTGATCCAGCTCTCTGCATAAGGCTTGGAAAAGCAGTGGGAGATGGCCCAGCTGCTTAGGCCCCTGCGCCCACATGGGAGACCAGGAAGAAGTGCCTGGCTTTGGATCGGCTCAGCTCCAGCAGTTGCAGCATTTGGGGAGTGAACCAGCAGATGGAAGATCTTTCTCTCTCTCTCCCTCTCTCTATAACTCTACCTTTCAAATAAATAAATAAAATCTTCAAAGGAAAAAAAAAAGGTCTAGCTAAGAACTATCTCTTGCATTTTCATTATTCTAGAATTACATTTAAAAACCCTGTGATTTGGACATTGCTAAATGTATTAGGTGATAGTTTTCAAGGTGTTGTCCCAAGACTAGCATATCAGTTTCACCTGCGAACTTGTTAGAAATGCGAATTGTCAGATAGGCAGGCTGTAATCCACAGCTACAGAATAGGGTGCTTTGGGGGTGGGGCCCACTAATTTATGTTCAAAACAAGCTCTGCAGATGATTTCACTGAATATAAATGTTGAGTATCACCACAGTAGGGTGTGATAAATGACAGGTTGAGTATCAGTGACATCTTTCCGTGTAAATGTCAAAATCATCATATGAAAAGTAAAATATTGACTTGCACTGTAGCTTGGCTCATTAATTGAAAACCTACTGTATTTAGAATTATCTGCAGGAAAAACCTAAAAGATTTACTGGTGTAATGAGTTAGAAATTTCTTGTCTGGGGCTTTAATTACTAGGTGTGTGAGTATGTGCAAGTCATCTGTAGGGTGGAAATAATTCCTCCTCTGTAAATTGGTTGTGTATATTCTAAATAACAGACACACAAAGCACCCCAGACAAACTAGAAGCTCTAGAAAGTGTTGTTGCTAGTATTATTAAGTTACAATTACTGTTGCCATTATTGCAAGATAATTACTCACAGGTGGGCATTCATCACAGGTGGGCATTTTAAAACACGGTAGGCTCCTTGCTTCAAGATATTAACCCTACTACCTGCCACTGCATCAATTCAGTTTCACTGTGGCAAATATACTGTACTCAATAAATGTCTACTGAACAACTGAATGAGTAAATAAATCTATAACCATTACCAATAGTGGAGGTGAGGGAGAGGTGCCACAGTTTCCTGGTATATTTACCCTCATGCCACTGTCTAGTTAAGACCTTATCAGAGATTGATAGAAATGGAGTAGGTTCCAGATTCCCTAAGTCTAAAGGGTCAGAGTGGGTGGCAGAAGCAGAAGCAAACAATTACAAGGCTGATGATACAAGGCTGAAAAAGTGATTCTTTGCTAGAGGAAGAGGATCTCTGGCAATAGATATCAATAAATTCTCAGGACAATGCTGTGTAAGCAGAGTGATTAACGTGAACTTCCCAGTTAGTTGCTTTATGTGATTTTTTTTTAATTACTAAAGAGACCAGCCTTGTTCAAAAGCAATTTATAATCTATTCTAGAATTACCTACAGAACCAGGCATGAACTGACTCAAAATCTCTCATGATAGTTTACAGTTATACCACGTTAACCAGAATGTGATTCCGCGTTAGTCATGGTAATGAGGGGTTTTTGGATTGTTTAAATATATATATAAAACTTTAAAGGACAAGGATATAGTGGCCACAAAGACCATAGAAAATATTGCACTATAAGCCTTGAGGAAGCTACAAAAGATATTTCCAAGGTTATTTCTAAGCACAAAAGATCCTGCCTCTCAAGGTGACAATTTTGACAAAGAATGAGGGAGGGGAAAACATCAACGTTCAATCAGTTTTTCTGAGAGGCAGCTGATTATAGTGTTGAAGGGAACCAGACCTACTTGGACTGAATAGTGTTTCTCCAACCCCTTAGGTATGTGACCTTAGAACCGCTCCATTTTGGGGGTACCTTAGGATTCCCACCAATTAATGAGAATAATAATGTTACCCCACTCCTAGAGTTTTGATGATTATATGAAGTATTTTTGAAAAATATTAGAACAGTGCCTGACACACAGTATTAAATACTGTTAATATGATTAGGCGTTAATACAAAATTGTATATATTTGCATGTTTTAACCTTATGGCTTTCCCCATTTCATGAATGATTATGCACCATATTTAGTGTTAGAAGAATTAATTAGTAGTACACAGTCCAGAGAAATGGCCAACTGCTGGTCCAGGAATAAGAACCACACGCAAATGATTAAATAGTTCTAGTTCTTGTGTTAACTGTGTAGAATATCTGAAATACATTTTGGTATCCTTCAATAATCCTCTTCTACATCAACTTGACCTTCCATGGACAAAGACTAAATAAATCACAAGTAGAAATCTGATATTAGTAAAATTTGCCAAAATTCTTATTTTTTATTTTACTACTATTGCTAATGCTGTTCAGCAAATATTTCTTACTTTTTGTCTCTGGCACTATGATAAGGTTGTATACCTCTGCCCTTTCGAAGTTAGACACTTGGTTATGGGATTGGCTTTGGCTTATGCAAAGCTTTGGCTTAGACGATTTCCAGGGGAGGCTTTAGGAAGCAATTTGATTTGTCAGGTCTTTTACCCATACTTTGAAGTATGTGGTCTAAATAAACTTCCACCTGCAGACTAGTCATGGACCTGTAGTATGATAGAGAACTATTTCTTGCTTCTTTGTACTGCAGAATAACTTAGTTGGTCCTGGTTGATGCCACTATTGAGAAGCTCAGATTGCTCTAAATAGAAGCACTTTAAAGCTTAATGTTGCACAGATTGATACACACCTTTTGTGCCCTCCGTTTGTCTGCTCGTTGGTTTTGGTGGTAGATCCGACTGAAGTTGGATACAATAACTGGAACAGGTAGAGCAATGACCAAGACACCACTCAGCGAACAGATGGAACCAAAAATCTTCCCTGCTATGGTTTTTGGTACCATATCACCATACCTGTGTTAGAGAAAAAATATATATTGTTTGAAGTCTCAGAAACACATGTCTACCGATTACACAATTTTTTTTTGCTTTAAGTCAAACTTTTTGAACATATCTATTTCTATTTTATGATTATAATATACATTATTTCAGACTTATGAATATCTGAATATAAAATTTACCTTTCAATGTTTTAGAAAATGCTAACATTCAGAAGTCTCTTGGTTTGGAATCTATTTGAAGGCAAATGATGTAATGATAGCTTTTCAATTTGTCCTTTGTATGACATGGCATAACTCTATATAATACTACTCTTTCTATGGTAGAATTTATAGACTTGATAACACAGTTTTCCACTTAATTTCTTCAACATTTGGTTGGTTATGAAATTTAAGTAGAAATGGTAGTATATCACATTCCTTTCATGTTATGTAATCACTTAAAACTAAACTTTTCAAGGTCCCCATTAACCTTGTGAAATCCAGCGGCCATTTCTCCATGATAATCTTATTCAATCTCTCATTTTGATCTCATTAGTAGACTATTCTTTCCTTGAAACTGTTTCCATTCTTGGCTTCCACATGGAACATTCCTCTCCTTATCTTCCTACCTCACCGACTGCACTTCTCTCACATCTTTTCTGCTTCCGTTCTCTTGATCTGATTTCTAAATCTTGGAGTAGTTCAGATCTCAGGCTTGAGTCTCCTAATCTTCTCCACATAAATGCTCTTCCTGTGTGATTTCATCTGATCCCATAGCTTCAAATTCTGTCTAGGCAGCTGACACTCTAAATTACATCAACAGCCCCGATGGTTCCCCGAGGATCCGACTTCCATCTCCAGTGAGCTAGTCTGTTTCTAACCCTGGACTCCTATCAGTCAATGCAAACTTAAATTAGCCAAAATGAAGTCTCATTTCCCTAGCTTCCTCTTCACTCCTCAAAACTATTCCTCCCACTGTTTGCCACCTATCATTAAGTGGAGCCACAAACCACCCAGTGGTTCACGCCAAAAAGGAGAGAGCTGCATCCCTGATGTCCACATCTTATCCCTTGTTTAGTCTTCTTGTTTCTGACCAAACAAAACTCTATCGTGTCTGAATCTCCTTACTCAAGCTGCATGTTATAACAATAAACTGAGCCATCGCCATGTCTCACCAGAGGCACAGATGCATTGTCTCAGTTGAAATCTTCTTTCTATGTTTGCCACATTACAATTCACGCCACCACAGCAGCCAGAGTTATGGTTTAAGAAGTGGAAATCAGACAGTTGCTGCTTCACTTAATCCGGCTAATGGAATTGAAACTAAAATTCAAACTCCTCACCTTTTGCTCCAAAGACCTATACGTCATACCACACTTGATCAAACTCATTCTCTTCTGGCCACTGTGGTCATTTGGCTTCTGTTTGCACATGCAGCCCCCAGAGCATCTTTATTCACATTGTCACTTAAATGCCTCCATCCAAGAAGTTGATTCCAGATATCTAATCCACAGCAGTCTTAGGACATTTCTCCCCAGTCATCCCCATAATATTTTCCCATTTGATTACTTTCTTTTTTAAATTTATTTTTTATTTTTATTTTTTTTGACAGGCAGAGGGGACAGTGAGAGAGAGAGAGACAGAGAGAAAGGTCTTCCTTTCTGTTGGTTCACCCTCTGATGGCCGCTGCAGCCGGCGCGCTGCGGCCGGTGCACCGTGCTGATCCAAAGCCAGGAGCCAGGTGCTTCTCCTGGTCTCCCATGTGGGTGCAGGGCCCAAGGACTTGGGCCATCCTCCACTGCACTCCTGGGCCACAGCAGAGAGTTGGACTGGAAGAGGGGCAACCGGGACAGAATCTGGTGCCCTGACCAGGACTAGAACCCAGTGTGCCGGCGCCACAAGCAGAGGATTAGCCTATTGAGCCGCGGCGCCGGCCACCATTTGATTACTTTCATTGTATATGCATTTACATGTGATATTTTATTTTAAATTTATTTTTGGGGGCTGGTGCTGTGGCATAGGGGGTAAAGCTGCTGCCTGCAGTGCCAGCATCCCATATGGGTGCCGTTTCAAGTCCTGGATGCTCCATTTCCCATCCAGCTCTCTGCTATGGCCTGGAAAAGCAGTAGAAGATGGCCCAAGTCCTTGGGCCCCTGCACCCACGTGGGAGACCTGGAAGAAGCCCCTGGCTTCAGATGGGTGCAGCTCTGGCAGTTGTGGCCAATTGGGGAGTGAACCAGCAGATGGAAGACCCCTCCCCCCACCACCTCTGCCTCTCCTTCTCTCTCTGTATAACTGCGACTTTCAAATAAATAAATACATCTTTTTTAAAAAAATTTATTTTTGATTTTCTCAAGTTAGAGAGGAATTGCCCTTGGAATGGTTGTTGAGAGTGGCCAAAGGGGATATTGACTAGCACTGCTTTTCGTAAACCCATTCTCAGCTTTGCTTTCTGCTATGAAGGCCCAGTTACTCATTCTTGTTGGTATTTGTGGGTAACCAGCAGTTGAACTAATTCACTAAAAATAAAATTTGTACCAGAATTGGCAGTATTAACTTATGGTAAAAAAAAATAATAACCCAAGACCTGGAATGCCGTGTCCTTCTGTAGCACATCTGAAAACCTAAATTGTCATCTGATTATTATGTTGGTGAAGAAACAGTCAAAACTAGAGGAACTTAGAGAGGCTGAGCAGAAAGGCTTGAGGACATTCTTAATATAGAGATGTCAGTGGACTTGGAAGGTCAACTTCTTTTTATACACTGCTGTGCACACAGGAGCCAATTTCTATATTGGCCACAGTTCACATGGAGTGCCATTCATATTTTATAAATATCTTTTTTCCCTTTGCACTGATTATGCAGTAGGCTCTGGAGGAGGCTAGCACGTGCACACACACACACCCATACACATACATGCACACAGCTGTAAACAAAGGAATTTGAGTGTGGCCTAGAAAGTGTTCCTTAAAATGGAAAGTAAATCAAAATCCATTATACTTGTGGTCAGAGAAGACAAACATTGAGTTGATGTAATTAAAGTAAGCCCTTTAAAATATAAATATATAAGAACACCAAATGAATCCAGCATATAGTTTTTCTTGCCCCTTTCTAAAGAGATTTTTTAAAATTAGTATTTAATTTTTTAAAAAAAGATTTATTTATTTGAGATGCAGAGTTACAAAGAGGCAGAGGCAGAAAGAGATAGCTTCAATCTGTTGGTTCACTTCCCAAATGGCCACAACAACTGGAGCTGGGCTGATCAGAAGCCAGGAGCTGGAGCTTCTTCAGGGTGTCTCATGTGGGTGCAGGGGCCCAAAGACTTGGGCCATCTTTTGCTGCTTTTTCAGGCATATTAGCAGGGAGCTGGATCAGAAGTGGAGCAGCTGAGATTTGAACCAGCACCCATATGGGGTGCTGCACTGCAGGAGTTGGCTTTAACTGCTATGCCACAGTGCTGGCCCCTTTATTAAATTTGTCTTGTGTTCTAGGTTCACTATGTCTGGGTTGGCAATCCCTGAATACTTGTAGTTATTTGAATACATTAAGAAAGGTGAGGAGATGAATCAGTTTGGTGAAAGCCAAAAAATTTAGCATAAGGGTCAGTCAGGGAAAAGAAAAGACATCTCTATTTATCTATCTATGTATATGTATGTAGTTTATTATCTTAAAGCTATGCAAATCTACATCATGTAAAATGATATTTATTATTTACTTCTACCATATTTGTTTTGTAATCCCGAATTCCTTCATAATCCAGAGTGGGAGTGAGCACTTGAGATGACTGGGCGCTACAGCAGTGATTATGGTGGAGAGAGAAAGGGAGTGAGTGTTCATTTGCAGGCGTACCTTGTCTAGTCTTTTTACTCTTGGATAGAGAGCTTTCCTGCATTGAAGTCCATTAGGATGGTCCCTTAGGGCACTGTTGTTGTGAGATAAGAGGGAGGAGGAGGAGGAGAGAACTGGGAAGCAGCACAGGGTGTTCAGGTAGTCTGGGCTGTTCTGCGATTATTCACTGCCTGAGTGCTTGGCTCATTCCCTAGGAGCACCTCCTGCCACCTTCGTTCCTTAGAGATGAACTTTTTTGCTCAGCTCCTTGCTCCCCTCAGCTTTCTAAGATTGGATTGCGGTTGATATTTTGCAGTATTTTATACATATCTCACTAATTGTCTCTGTTGCAGAATAATGAAGAACATATAGTTTGATTCATGCTTGTTGTGAATTTATCTGTATTGTCTCTCTTCTGATTTAGGAATGACCTGGAGAAATGGAAAAATTTCTTTGCAAAATTGTAATTGGGCACAGGACATTCCAGATATGGGTAATATCTTGCTGGCAAAACCAGTTGCTCTTCTTTGTTAAAAAAGGAACTTTTTTAAACTTTTATTTAATAAATATAAATTTCCAAAGTACAACTTTTGGATTATAGTAGCTTTTCTCCCCCTAACCTCCCTCCCACCATCCCATCTCCTACTCCCTCTCCCATCCCATTCTTCATCAATTCATTTTCAATTATCTTTATATACAGAAGATCAACTTAGTATATACTAAGTAAAGATTTCAACAGTTTGCACCCACACAGATACACAAAGTATAAAGTACTGTTTGAGTAGTAGTTTTACTGTTAATTTGCATAGTGCAACACATTTAAGGACAGAGATCCTACACGGGGAGTAGGTACACAGTGACTCCCTTTGTTGATTTAACAATTGACACTCTTATATGGCGTCAGTAATCACCAGAGGCTCTTGTCATGAGTTGCCAAGGCTATGTAAGCCTCTTGAGTTCACAAACTCCAATCTTATTTAGACAAGGCCATAGTCAAAGTGGAAGTTCTCTCCTCCCTTCAGAGAAAGATACCTCCTTCTTTGATGGCCTGTTCTTTCCACTGGTATCTCACTTGCAGAGATCTTTCATTTAGGTGTGTGGTGTGTTTTTTTTTTTTTTTTTTTTTTTTTTTTTTTTTTGTCACAGTGTCTAAGCTTTCCATGCCTGAGAAACTCTCATGGGCTTTTAACTGGATCCAAATGCCTT